CAAAAATGGTTTTTTTTTTTTCAATAAACAAAATTTGACAAAATTCGATTTTTATAAAAAAATATCGAGTTTTTTTTTTCCTACCTAGCCGAGAGGCTTGAGAGGCTATTTCAGCGTAACCTCAACTAATAGGTGAGCTCACGGGGCTCAAACCTGACGACGTTGCTAACACGAACCCTAGCAAGAGCCGTGCTTCGCAGAATCTACCACTGGATCGGAAACGCGACCCACTGAGAAGATCCGGCGAGAAACTCAGTGGGCTGTGTCTGTCTGTGGCTTAATTTACTCGCCGAGCCCTTCATCGCAAGCGACGGGTTCGACGAGAACGATGACCGGCTGAAACAACGTGAGCTATCGGGTAAAACATAAATGGTTTTCTTTTCAGTCAACAGAATTCGACAAAATTCGATTTTTATAAAAAAATATCAAATAGTTATTCACATATTGTATGTATTAGTTTTGTATTCGTTTTTAAGTTTTTATGATCGGAATAATTTTTTTTATCACTAATTGCTTAAGTACAGTCTCGGTCAATTGAAATAATTTTAAGACGAATGAAATTAATTTTGCTCCTGGTAGACATACATTATGAGCCTGTGAGGGTAGATACGGCCACCGGCGAAGAAGGAGTCGTTATATAATACCATTGAGACTTCAATCTCACGTATCAGGGTGAATGGCGGGATCTTCGTAATGCTTACGGACTCAGGTGGGCTGTGCGCTCTTTCACTCAATACGCCAAAATATTAAAAATCAGTAACTTCATCATCGATCACTCCACAACCACTGTCATAATAATTATAACTCGATATTTGTCAAGGTATCTATATTATTAGAGGCGACTCCCTCTTAAGTCAAAGTCGATGGGCGGAGCCATTGACGACGAGCACTCACGTGGACTCGTGATCTGGAGGGGCAACTCGTCATCTGGAGGGGCAACCGACCGACCAGCGGGGACATCACGCCACCTCGGATCACTTTTGCTGGAAGCGCGCGCAGCGTTCACTTGTCTTAGATTTAATATTCTGTGTCGATCGTTCCTACCCACTTTTGTATTTTTTTTATTTATTTAAATTATTAAGCCGTTGCTAAAAATATATATAAAAATGAATTGCTGTTCGTTGGTCTCGCTAAAACTCGAGAACGGCTGGACCGATTTGGCTAATTTTGGTCTTGAATTGTTTGTGGAAGTCCAGAGAAGGTTTAAATTAGTTTAAAAGGTAAATAAATATGAAAATGCTCGGAATTAAACAAAAATGACAATTTTGTTTTTCCTTTGATGTGTCCCCCGCCGGTCGGATTCCTTTTGTTTGTTTTAAGTTCATTTTATACATAAGTCCAATTCTTTTATTTGTCGATTGAGGCACTACGAAGTCTGCCGGGTCAGCTATACTTGATAATTATTATCAAGCTCTGGCAGCAACAAATTCTATATCAAGAGATTCCTCACATTAATCAGAAATAATACATTCGCAACCTAAACACGCATTCAACACACTGTACAACCGATGGCTAAATTACAACAGTCCATTAGGCACTAAAACATGTTTACATAATACATAACTGACGGCTAAAACACAAGCGTCTGAGTACAGTCGAAACAGTGTAAACAACAATGTTTATTACAAAACCCAATTTATTACACAGAGAATCTGATTTAGAAGCGTTCGGGAGCTAATAGATAAGTTCGGGTGCATATTGTACGATGGCTCAGTCCCATACCCGCCGGAAGGGACCGAGTCAACATTTTGCAAGCCTCCCAAAATGCCGGACACTAAACGGATCACTCATCCTCTTCGAACTCGCCCGTTGGCAGAGACCATGAAACTTACTAGAATGAGCTGTATCTACCGAACTATGACAAAATCGTATTCAAGACGATTTTCATTTTAATATGGGATGTCCCTGCTTGATAAAATACATTAATTACACGAAAATTTCAATCGTTGCATTCAAATAGTATCTACATTAGTCGTAAAACGTTTATCATTTTCACCTTTTAATAAAGGTGAGAATAATTGTAAAGATAACTTGTTTAAATAATATGAAGTGTGTAGTGCTTAGTGGGAACAGTACGTCATCTTTCTTTCACACTGATGCTTTAGTGGCAGTACCGTCATGAATGTATGATATCTATAGTCTTTATATTATTTGATAACAGACGTCGTAACTAATTTATTTACTATTAATTAAAGTATAATCTTTATAAATGGGAGAACTTTGCAAGCTATAGAACGCAGATATACAAATTTACTTTGGATTTATTTTGGAATAGAGCATCCGTGGCTCGTAATAGAGCATAGAGGCGTGTCGTGAACCCGCACGTGGGTGGATAGCACCAGTCTGCGTGAAGCAGTAATGCGTTTCGGTTTCAAGGATAGGGCAGCCGTTGTACTGTAAAACTGAGACCTAGAACCCGTGGTAGGAACTTTTGCGAGTCCGCACCGCCACCCTGCCTGTTTCTGTCGTGAAGCAGCAATGCGTTTCGGTTTGAAGGGCGGGGAGCTGTTGTAACGATACTGAGACTTTTCAACTTATATCTCAAGGTGGATGGTGCATTTGCGTTGTAGATGTCTATGGGCTCCGGTAACCACTTAACAGCAGGTGGGCTGTGAGCTTGTCCATCCATCTAAGCAAAAAAAAAAAAAACATGTCTAAAGGTGGGTGGTGGCATTTAAATTGTTAATGTCTATAGGCTCCCATAACCACTTAACACCAGGTCGATCGAAAACAACTTTGTATGTTAATATGGATTCGTTTGACGATTTCTGATCAGAGGTATTGTAATTCTTTAAAGTTCTAACTTTAAAATTGTGATTTTCGGCAAATTACCCCTACTACCAGATGATGTTTTATCAAAAGAAATCAGTACTTATACAAACTTATATTATTTGTTTCTAGCTATTTTTTGTAAAGCTATTTTAAATAAGTAAATAAAGGTCAACATGCCTTAGTAGGGGAATAAGGTAAGATTAAAATTCTATCTTCAAAAGTTACTTTTATGACAAAATATTTCATAAATTAATTCATATATTCTATTAAGCCATTGTGGTCTAACGATTGGATAATGCTTCGTGTATTTATCTCGAGCTATGTAACTGTGTTGGTGTCCAGACCTCACAGGTAGCTACCAGTTTTTCTATTTAAATATATAGTCCAAACATGTTCACAAATGACTTCCATGTTGAAAGAATAAAAACATGCAATTTAAACCGAAAATGTCTCATATACAATTGAGACAACAACCTAAAGTTTCAATATGGGTATGCGGCATTCACTTTGTGATGTTTTTTGTTTCTGATAATTTTGGCCTGAGACGATCACTAACAAAGAGCTGTGGAGGATCACCAAGCAGACACCAATGGAGAAGGAGATCATTACGCGAAAGTGGCATTGGATTGGTCACATATTGAGAAAGCCCGATACCCACCTATTTAAGAGAAGACCTGACCTGACCTGGAANTTCAATATGGGTATGCGGCATTCACTTTGTGATGTTTTTTGTTTCTGATAATTTTGGCCTGAGACGATCACTAACAAAGAGCTGTGGAGGATCACCAAGCAGACACCAATGGAGAAGGAGATCATTACGCGAAAGTGGCATTGGATTGGTCACATATTGAGAAAGCCCGATACCCACCTATTTAAGAGAAGACCTGACCTGACCTGGAAAGTGTCTGTCAAAAGGAAAAGAGGCCATCCCAGTTTCGGTGGAGCAGGAGTTAGGCGTCTTGGGAACGATGTGGGAGGAGCTAGAACAGGCTGCCCAAGACCGATGTCAATGGAAGGATTGGATTCGAGCCCTACACCTCAGCAGAGGGTAATAGGGAAGAGAGAAGAAGACATATTGCGTGATATATGGTTACAATTCTACAAAAGAGAAAATCTTTCACTGAGAGGAGAGCAAGAAAGAAAGACTTCTAAATCATGTGTGCTTGACAGAACGGCGAACCTAAATTTTACATAGCGTATTTGTGTAAGATTTTTTCAGACACAGAAACCACCTGAATCATTAACAAAATACTTATTTATTTTGAAAATTAGTTAAGTTAATTATATCTAACTCATATTCAAATAGAAAATTAATTCTTGTGTTGCAGACTTTGATTATTTACTAAAATATAGATAGGGACATTTACATTGATGCTATCAACCATAGTACCATTGCAACTTAGATCTTTTTGGAGATATATCATTGAATACCAAACATATTTTTTGGTTTTACAAAATTATAGATTCTATTTTTATATTGTAGAAACTGTTGAATATGTTTAGTCTTTACAGATACATATACCGATTGATAATAACATTAGTTTTTCTAATTATTAAATGTTAGTTCATATTAATGATAGCCACTTAGTTGTTTAACAAAAAATATTTTTTGTTCTAAGCATTGAAATGTTCTAGGATTTCCACTAGCATATTTTTAAAAATTAATACAATTTATGTTTTTTGTTTTAACTACTCATGTGCTGATTGCTAAGTAACAGAAAAGTAATTAGTTACATTTATTTGTTAAGTTTGAGATGTTTCATAATTAGAGCATTCTTTAACTAAAAGGCTATTTGCACAAAATTTATTTTTCTGCAATCGCAAAACACGAAATGAACAACAAAAAAGTGTCCAATATTTTTATTACGTATTGACCAGCTTCCGCTGTAAAGTTACGTCAAAGGCCCAAAAATCGATGTTTGGTGTAACAAAGATTTTTTTAAGCAAAACAAAAAAGTCAACTTCAGGAAATGTTAGCAAAACATCTGTTCTATTGCTAAGTCTCGATAATTACACAAGATATCGTCTATCTATGCGGTTGTACGTAGGCTCTTCTACTCAAAGAACCGTGACTAACCCGCAGATGTGCCCTCCAGCTGGTGTACCGGTGACCCGGCGCCTCCGACAACCAGCCACGCCAACAAACCAACCGAAACCAAATAGGTTACAAAAGACACTAAGTTTGGCCCTAAAAATTTAAAATTTGGTACCAAGACACACATACTCACATGTAACAACGTTTATCATCCAACAACGAGTGTCATGACGAACCAAACTGTTGTATCACTGAATAAATAATCACTATTCAACAAGGAACATTTTTTCGTAATGAAATTCCAACTGATGATTGCACTAAATGATTTTTTTTACACGTTTAACTAATATAATATTGCACAAAAACCTTTAATAAACACATGCACAGAACAATGGTTGTATTTAACGTTATTATCACAAATATAAACGAAATATCACACACGGATAACACTTTTCTGATTGTCCTTGCGCCCACATAAATGGGCGGCCATCTTGCGTTCGCCCGGATGGGGAGGTAATGTTACCAGTACTGATCAGATATTTAACGGGAAATTCCAAGTCCAATTATTTTAGTTTAAAAAGGCAATTATTATGAATATAAAAGCAGCCTTTAACAAACAAAACTTAAAATCTCAGAAACAAACAATGCATGTTTTTTTTTTCAGTGTTANGTCCTTGCGCCCACATAAATGGGCGGCCATCTTGCGTTCGCCCGGATGGGGAGGTAATGTTACCAGTACTGATCAGATATTTAACGGGAAATTCCAAGTCCAATTATTTTAGTTTAAAAAGGCAATTATTATGAATATAAAAGCAGCCTTTAACAAACAAAACTTAAAATCTCAGAAACAAACAATGCATGTTTTTTTTCAGTGTTACAGTAAAAGGGCCCCACTTCTGACAAAATATTATTGATAGGTTCACGTCGAATAAAAAACCAGTAGAGTGATAGATTCTATAATTCAGGACGCAACAAGACATTTATTAATAGGTCTCAATCAAAGAAATATGCTTTATATATTTATTGCATTAGACAAAGTAGACGAACTTAGAGTAAGCCTGGCGGTTACAATTACCATAGTTGTCAGTGGTTAACGGTGCCTAACTTAGTTATTGTAAAAGGCAGTCATTCAAAAAACAAATTAAATACTTGTGTGGTAATTTAATGTACTTTTTATTTTTATTTACTTTAACTGTGAGTAATAATTCGGTTATTGCTTACAAGTATTTTTATTCGTATTTTTATTAAGAAAAAAAAAATCAAAATTATCAAAGCTTGAAATCTTTGAAATAAAAATATGCGATCTTAATTTATAAAGATGTGAAAATTGTGATCATTCGCATGTAAAAAAAAATTGTTTTAAATAAGCCACTGCTGCTTTTAACCTAAATGAAATTCTATAACATGACAACATTTAAAATCAAAGTGAATTTTTGTTTCATTTATCCATATGAAAAGGCAAAAGATGTTAGCCCTTACAGCCAGATGCTTTTCGCATCCTGCTATATCAGTACATACAGTTATCTTTTTACAGGCAAATCACTTGCAGTAAATTGTTTTTTTTTAATTTTTACTCTTCTTCTTCTTATTCTGGTCACAAATTTTTTGTAATTAGTTTTTCCTAATATATGATAATATGTTATGTTTCGTCTAAATTATTTTTGTTATGCCTGTACGATTAGATGACTGGATTCAAAATAGAAATTCCTTTCGCCTAGTCTTGTGTTATGTGCCTCAGTTTCCACCGGAACTTTAAGTGTGCAAGCTTTGTTGGGTCTTAGTTTTTTGTTGCATTCTATTCTTTAATCTAAATAATCAATCAACCTGAACTTTGCTTCCAAAAGGAATTATGACAAGAAAAACGTTGCGCCAATCTTTCAAAGGTTGTTTTACTTAAATATATCATATTCTACATAACTGGGGCTTAAAGATCTCGTTGCAAGGTCATAAAATCTTTAAAAAAATAATTGCACATAAATTGTGTAAAATTTAAATGTACGAGATCTATGGAGGATAGAACGAGGGCGCTTAACTCGTGACACGTAAAAGCTTTTTTGAAGATTTTTGTGGCCTGATAATAAAACCTTTAAGACAAGTCTTTTATTTTATTGTTAAATACTGTTAATAAATGAAAAATTAAATGAAGCGAAATGAGATGAAGTTGATTACTTTGAGTCTTTAATCAAATGGGATGAAATTAAATAAAACGAGATGAGATGAAATTAAATAAAATCTCAGTAAAACGGTGGTTATGAAATTTTACCAGTGGACTTTTCGGAAGAATCTGAGAAGCTACGTCCAGCGGCTTTGTTTAATTTTCCCACATTTGTGTACTTTCATAGATGCTCAATGTTGGATGGTTAAAATTGAGGGGACTGGCTTTTGTAGGTGAGGGGCTATTTAAAAACACCCTGCTTCATGGTTAATACAATTATATGGCAAAGACTTTGTACACTATTACACCATTACAATATTTTATATTTATAAAACCCTAAGATGTTGCACTGTCCGTGTCTAGATGAGAAGTCCTAGTCATAACTGAAGAGAAGACAATAATCTGTTTTAAACATTTAAATAAACATTCCAATATTCGAAAACTATTACTTCACATATGACAAGTGTCCCCTGCCATTCCTATGGAGGTAAGGAGAACGGTCTCAGTGTGTAAAAAGTGTCCGATAAAATCTGCTAAATAAGGGTGGTGCTACAGTAGCAACCGGGTAAATTTAAAAAAAGGCGCTGAAAGTTATTAGAATAAGATAGAGAAATAAAAAGGATGAAAGAACTGTGGGCACTACAAAATCAAAAAAGTATTTTTTTAAAGCTGATAAGAAAGTGCAATCGATGTCTCCACGTTTTACCAGAAAAATAATTTTAGGTTATATTGACGAAATTAGTCTGAACTACGTAAACGTGTGAGGTCTTGTGTATTACATTGTCAGTAACTACTCTAGTCATTAAATATATTAAATTTCCTAACTCAGCATACTTCTATCAGTTAACAACTGCTCAATTCATATCATACCCTGTGCCTATGCTAGCGCCATTCTGGAGGATTTTTAAATTGTTATTTAGTGCTGAAAGTGGGACACTTTTTCAAAGTTCTCCCATATGAGACGATTCTCCTTACCTCTACCCTCCATAGCTGATGTAAACTTCTTAGTTGAAATTATCAGCCATAAGTTGACGTCATTGTCAATCTGTTTTATTCGATAATTGTCAATGTATCTAATGCAATCAAAGCAAATTTTACTGTTAATTTTAGCTTATTAAAACCTTATATTCAGTAAAGGTTTTCTCTTATTTCAATTTAATAAGCTAAATAAATAAAAAATGGATAGGTATCTCCGCCCTGAAAGGTTTGATATCGACCCATCAGATAGCTCTAGTACGAGAGCTTGGATACATTGGCGTAAAACTTTCGAAAACTTCATTTTCGTGCAGAAGCCGACCGCTCCACAAACAGATGCACAGTCGGTTCGTCCGCCAGAAAAATGGGACAGCATAAAGTTTCAACTTTTGGTAAACCATATATCACCAAATATCTACACATATATAAGCGAAGCTACGAACTACGAAGAAGCGATCACAATACTGCAAAAACTGTATGTAAAACCAAAAAATCTGATTTTTGCTAGACATATGTTAGCAACAAGGAAACAACGACCAGAAGAAAGTATTGACACATATTTACAAGCTTTGAAACTACTTTCCAAAGATTGTGATTTTGTGGCTGTTGATGCAGAAACAAACAAAAACGATAGCGTACGCGATGCTTTCATATCCGGTATATCATCGCATAAAATCAGACAAAGGCTTTTAGAAAACTTAACTCTAACACTTGATCAAGCTTACAACCAAGCACTCTCTCTAGAAACTGCAGAGATCAACTCTCAAAACTTCAATACTGTCTCTTTAAATGCTGTTGCTCCAAAAGAACCAACATTAGTCTCTTCGAAATCACAAACTCTGCACAACGAGACTTGCTCTTCTGTTAATAATCCTCGACGGCAAAAATGTTTCTTTTGTGGGGGTCAAATACATCCTCGTAAGAACTGCCCTGCCTTTGAAAAGACTTGTCAACTCTGTAACAAGAAGGGGCACTTTGCCACTGTTTGTAGAAGCTCTTCTAAATCTACAAATTCTGTGGTAGTAGGTACTGAAGATCTTTCCGCTTGTATCACAGCAGCGTCACCTTCTTCATTACGTAAAGCTACTGTACCCGCTTATATTCGAGGAATAAGAGCAGAAGCACTTCTCGACACCGGCAGCTCCATCAGTTTTATAAATGACAACTTTGCAAGACTATGCGGGTTAAAAAGAAAATCCTGCAATCAGACTATTTCTATGGCCTCTCTTAATTATACTTCACAAGTAGAAGGTCAAACTTGGCAAACCCTGAAAATCGGAAATCATAGATATGATAATGTGAATCTTCTTATCGTGAAAAATCTTTGTGCTGATATAATTATCGGCCATGACGTCCTCGAAGAACATTCATCGCTAGAGTTCTCTTTCGGTGGGCCAAAACATCCACTTCAAGTATGTAACGTAGCTGAAGCATCAGTACCAGCTGTACCGCTTTTTGCGAATGTATCTCCCAACTGCAAACCTATTGCTATAAAGTCTCGAAGGCACAACAAAGAGGATAGTGAATTTATTAAAGAAGAAATCAGAAACCTTATAGCAGAGGGCGTGATTGAAGAAAGTAAATCACCGTGGAGGGCCCAAGTACTAATAACAAAAAGCGAAACTCATAAAAAACGCCTTGTAATTGATTACTCTCAGACAATTAATCGTTACACAGAACTCGACGCGTACCCTTTACCAAACATTGAGGACTTAGTTTCGAAAGTGGCAAAGAATACATTTTTCAGCCTAATAGACCTGAAAAACGCGTACCATCAAGTACCTATACTACCCGAAGAAAGGAAATTTACCGCTTTTGAAGCACTGGGAAATTTGTACCAGTTCAGGCGTATTCCTTTTGGAGTAACAAATGGTGTTTCGAGCTTCCAGCGAACAATCGATTGGATTATAAGAAAAGAGAAGCTTCAAAACACATATGCGTATCTTGATGATATAACTATTTCTGGCCGTACTCTTGAAGAACACGATCATAACTTAGAAAGTTTTATGAATGCCGCAAAGAAATACGGTTTAACACTGAGTATACAAAAATGCAAATTTTCTCAAAAGTCAATTAATATTCTAGGCTATAATATTCAAAACCACATAATTAAACCTGACAATGAGCGACTCAAGCCACTGATTAATTTACCTCCACCAAGCGATTTACCGACCTTAAGAAGGACACTCGGCATGTTCGCACATTATTCTAAGTGGATTCCAAAATTTTCTGAACGGATCCACTCACTTGCTAATACGACGATTTTTCCACTCACAAGCGAGCAAATTAAATGTTTCGAAAGCTTGAAAAATGATATCGCAAAGTCTTCTATACATGCAATTGATGAAAATATACCTTTTACAGTGGAAACTGACGCTTCCGATCATTCCATTGCAGCAGTACTTACGCAAAATTCTAGACCAGTGGCGTTTTTCTCAAGAACGTTAAATTCAAGCGAACAAAACCATTCCGCCATTGAAAAAGAAGCGTACGCCATTGTGGAATCATTGAAGAAATGGAGACATTTCCTTATTGGTAGACACTTTAAGTTGGTAACTGACCAACGCTCGGTTTCTTTTATGTTTAATATGAAACATTCAAGTAAGATAAAGAATGAAAAGATTCAAAGATGGCGACTGGAACTTGCTGCTTTCAAATACGATATTATATACAGACCGGGGAAAGAGAACTATGCTGCTGATGCACTATCCCGAGTTTGTGCCACTGTAGAAACACGTACTGCAAAACTTTTCTCGCTGCATGAGGCTCTTTGTCATCCAGGGGTAACAAGAATGTTTCACTGGGTTCGCTCTAAAAACCTTCCCTATTCTATTGAAGAAGTCAGAACAATGACAAAATCTTGTCGAACCTGCTCTGAAATAAAACCTAGATTCTTCCGAAATACCTTTGATGACCAGAGGAAACTTGTTAAAGCGACGGCTGCTTTTGAACGCCTTAGCATAGATTTTAAAGGACCAGTTCCAACAAATAATAATAACAAATTCATACTTACCGTGATTGACGAATTTTCACGTTTCCCGTTTGCATTCCCATGCTCAGATGTAAGCTCGAAAACAGTGATTAAACATCTTAACAACTTGTTTATGATATTTGGCATGCCTTCTTACGTTCATTCAGATCGCGGAACAGCATTTCTTTCTGCTGAAGTACAGGAATTTTTACATGTTCGAGGTATTGCCACTAGTAGAACTACAGCTTATAACCCTCAAGGTAACGGTCAAGTAGAAAAATTGAATTCTACTCTTTGGAGAACGATTCTTTTGGCCCTGAAGACGAAGAATCTTTCGGTAGAAAATTGGGAACAAGTATTACCACAAGCCTTACATTCAATTCGATCATTACTTTGTACAACCATAAATTGCACTCCACATGAAAGAATGTTTAGACACCCTCGAAGATCTACTAACGGCACTTCTGTTCCATCGTGGCTTACAAATTCTGGACAAGTCTTGATGAAGAAATTTAATCGTACAAATAAATATCAGCCATTAGTAGAAGAGGTTGAATTGATACACAGCAATCCTGACTTTTCATACATTCGGCTTCCAGATGGCCGAGAAACAACAGTGTCGAATCGTCATCTAGCACCATTGGGTTCAGAAAGGGTAGATCTGCGAATAGATAATGAACACACTATTAATTATCATAACGTCGCAGAACCACTTCCGGAAACAGAAGACCAAAACTTGGAGATTCCTTCATCTAATGAAACGGGACCTGTGGTACTTGATAATAGCAGAGAGCTAGAGACAGAATTACCATCATCACCACCGCCGGAGCCAACACTTCGTAGATCTGGTCGCGTCCATAAAACGCCAGGATTTTTGAAAGATTATATTTTAAAATAGTGCGGGAGAATGATGTAAACTTCTTAGTTGAAATTATCAGCCATAAGTTGACGTCATTGTCAATCTGTTTTATTCGATAATTGTCAATGTATCTAATGCAATCAAAGCAAATTTTACTGTTAATTTTAGCTTATTAAAACCTTATATTCAGTAAAGGTTTTCTCTTATTTCAATAGCCATTAGGTACTTACATATTCAAACTTCAACACTCAATAGTTAATAAGCCACAAATATTACTTACACATTTAAACCAGAATTGATTTAAAATCAATAAGTAGATACATATATATTAATAAAATATAACAATTCACACCACTTCGCTCCACACGCTCCTGCCAAAAAGTCCAGATAAGGAAGTCCAAATGTAAGGTAAGTACAATATCTTTGAAAACATGTTCCGCTTGTTATAAGCTGTTTTTTTTTAATGTTTGAGGTATTACTGATGGCCTAGAGGCCTTTCCAGATTCACCAGGATAGGTGAGCGAGCAAGGGCTCCGCTACGAGGGGTGGGATTTGCTAACAGCTGGCCGAGCGCCTCCAAAGGAGACCTAACAACTCAAGAGTTGTTGCTTCTCGAAAGAATCTATTAGCGGATCGGAATCGCGATCCGCTGAGAAGATCCGGCGAGAAACTCAGCGGGCTGATGCTTAGGTTATGTTGCATGTCGAACTCTTTGCAGAGTTTGACGAGTACGGTTACCGGGGTCCCTTGTCCTAGTGTTAGAGATGAAGGCGTCTAATGCAAGGGTTATTGGATCTAATGGATCCGTACGGACGTGCTTAGGGCGTCGACGGTGACAAGCTCCTGTGTGATCAGGATTCGGGGAGTAGTCAGCGGCTGCAATAAGGCGATTATCATGACGCATAGCCTTATCGAAGTACCGTTCCGACGCTGACTTCATGTATTTCCGGATTGATTCGAGGGCCAGGTCGTCGTGTAGGTCAACGTTCCTCACGAACCACGGAGCTCCGATGGCTTTGTTATACACTGCATTGATCGACAAGAATATATTTTATAAGTCTTAACCATGGATAATTCACTAAATATTGTAGGCTGGTCATAACAGTGTTTCTAGTAACTACCTTCATACTTTGAGTTGAAAATAGAAAAGTGTTTCGAGGTTATCAATAAAATCAACAAAATCGACATTCGAGTCATAAATGAAATAAAAATATATAACAAATAAAAATATAGGCTAAAGTAGTTGTTTCAATAAAGCCCATAATGGCAATATTTAAGGACAACGAAAGGACAAACATATTTCATTAAAAATATTTGTAATTAAAGACTATTTTTCCTTAAACATTTTTTGTATATACAATTCCAATCCTTTTAACTGATGGGATTGGTTCGATGATTCTGTGCCCCCTGTGGAGGCCTCTTGATCACTCTCTCATCAGGTGACCTGCAATTCCTCTAAATATACTGTTTTTTTGTGTAGCAGTAACTATCATAGAACATAATTATTATAATCTTTTTCATAAAAGCCTGAATTAATAAAAGTTATACACAAACAACATTCAGGTCACCAGTCTACCCAGCAACAACGCTTGCTCAATGGAAGACCTACCCTTTGTCGTTTCCTCCAAATTTATTTCCATATTTTTTTAAACCATGTTTTGTATATGTAAATAGTATTTTTTTTGTACATATTAGAAACAATTTAAGTTACGGCCATCTCTTGACCAGCTGCACAATGTCTGTGCGCCCTCTGTATGCCCTTTGGATAGGAACCCTTTAATTGACAATTTAGGATACAGAGACTTTATATTCTTGTATACATTATATATCAGTGTACAATTTCTAGAAACATACACAAAAATATTGGGAGTTTTCTTAATTTTGTTAATTAATAATTTAATATTAAGATCAAATAATAATGAAAACAAGTGAATAATTCTATATATTTTTTTTATTTTGTTAAATCACTTACAGACCATAGGTCTTACAAAATAAACTATTGTTATAACTTAAATTAGAAAATATATCAACTTAATATTAAACAATAATTCAAGAAATTAGATCACGATTAGTGGTCAATATTAACAAAGCTGTAAGAGAAAAATGCAATTATTAAAGATATTTTTTGTTTATTTTTCATTTCCTTTTTTTTTTAAATCACAATTTATTTGAAATACAATGCGCCTTCTAAAACGAAGGCATTAAACTTTTTATTTTCTTATTTTAAAAACTTATAACAAAATTTCTTGTGAAAAACGCAAGTAATGAGTAATAAGTACAACACCAATGGATAATCAATAATGTAAAAAATCTGCACAAGAGTTACAAAATGCTTAAAGAATAATTTGAACTTTGAAACTATTTCCGATTTAACTTTAGGTACATACCTACAACATCATTGACACAAACAAAACTAAGTCATACATACAGTACATAAAGATATCCGTTGTCGATATTAGAAATCAATTTCAACACATGGAATGCGACCATTTTGTTTGACTGCCGACTGGCTGGCTTAGAGCGCGTGGACCCGACTGCGATACCCCGGCTGACTCTAATTAATCAATCGGCTATGGACGAATACTTATTTCATATAAAAATGCACTTTTCATTATTCTGACTAGACCGCACACACACTTGTTAGCCCTCCTGTCACCGTCACACCGGGCTGTCACACTGACACTGACAAGCAAATGTCGATTGTTTTCACAATTGAATGTCTAAGGGCCTTCTGGACCGCTTCGTCGCGGGCTCCCAATCTTTGAATAGCAAATTCGTCAGGATCGGAGATCGATTGTGAATTGTAGTTTTCATTTGACGATCAGACCGGGGTTCTTTTGGTACTCCATCGGGAGGAAGATGTGCATCAGTTTCTCGATTTCGCCTCTGCACAACGGACAGCGGTTGCATCTGTAAACAAATAACAGAATCACAATTTTAAATACGATTCAATAAACTTATTTATTACAACACATATTCATCAATTTTTGAATGTGTAAAACTTAAAAACTTAATATATTAATATAGTAATCTGTGATGTGAACTGAAACTATTCTCGTATCTCTAAATATGAGATATTTTTACCTTTATCTTTTCCTCGGATAAGTTCATTCTGAACTAATGAGTTATTGTATGTAATGGAGAGAGTCTTGTATTAAAATATTCCTTTGATTTTAATAATGTTTTAAATATTTACTAAATCAACGTATAGATGTCGCTATCATCAAGTTTTAACATATCTGCTGAACTTCTGTTATATTAATGGACTTCATAAGCTATTGTAGAAGCAGCAGTCAATAGTTTACCTTAATATTATTAGTAATTTTTGATTGTTTAGACATAGTTCTTAGTGTAATCAAAGTAATCAAATGTAATCAAAGTTAGTTAGTTACCTAGGAGCGCACTGTCCGCAGCATACCACGTGTCGGCACGGCAGGAACAGCGAGTCGATGGGCTCGTCCATGCACACGCGACACGCCAGCGCCTCACCGCCGCCGCCGCTACTGCTGCTGCTGCTGCTCGATCTTGAACGGGTTTTCTGTGACAACAAGGAAAATTTTTATTTCTAGAAAAAATTTGAGGGGAAAGCAGATCTGGGCGGTCTGTAGGTGCCTGCGTGCATACCTCGTGTCCCACCCGTGCGGGCGGCGCGGCGGGGGGCGCGGCGGGCGGTGCGGCGCGCGGGGCGGTGCGGTGTGCGGCGCGGCGCGCTCGGTCGTGCACCTCGCGGCACGTGCGTCGGATGTCGAACACGTAGCGGCGGCCCAGCGTCGTGGAGTCCTTGAATATCGATGCTATTGTGCCCTGTTCAAAATATTAACATTTATTTTTTAAGCAACTTTGTAAATCTTTACATTAAGACGTGAAGCCAAAACTTGCGTGGACAGAAGAGTATGACATTTGCCACACTTATAGAGAATAATAATAATATAGAGATGAAGTGCAGAATGTTATTTTTTAATTACATAAAATTCATTAAATCATAATAAACATGAAACAATGCGACGTCACACCGCGCGCTTATTCACAAGCGCAACGTGTGAATGTGTTGAACGCGAGCTAAATGGTAGGCGGAGTGGGCGGTGTTAGGTTTTATTTTCGTTACGGAATTTCTTGAGTCGGTTCCGCGCTCAAAGCCCGCGATAAAAGCTATGCAACAGGTTAAAAAAAATAGATTATTATTTTATAGATAACTAACTACCTTCAGATCTCTTATAAACTGTTCGGTGACGTCAGTTCTAACAGTCTCGCAGCAGTAGAAGGCGTGCTTCTCGGTCACGGCCCGGTAGAGCGCCGCCGCTTGTCCCGAAGTGGCCATCTTCACGTGGAGTGTGGCCTCGTTGCCTTCGCTAGTCACGTACGACATCTGGAAGATGCGACGAGCAGGTTGGGCTCGGTGTATCGCGGTGTATGGAATGCTGAAATAAGAATACAAAATAACGAATTAAATAAACAATAATAATATTTCAACTAATACTAAAAATAAAATAGGGTGGACAGATATTAAATGGTAGTTTTTTATTGCTTAGTTGGCTGGACGAGCTCACAGCCCACTTAGTGTTAAGTGGTTACCGGAGACCACAGACATCTACAACGTAAATGCGCCACCCACATTGAGATATGAGTTCTAAGGTCTCAAGTATAGTTACAACGGCTGCCCCACCCTTCGAACCGAAACGCATTACTGCTTCACGGCAGAAATAGGCGGGGCGGTGGTACCTACTCGTGCGGACAAGAGGTCCTACCACCAGTGACAGTGCTTAGCCGTCAGTGTTAATATCTATGTTAAGATTGCTAAGTAATTGTTGTCTAAATATTATTGTCGTGTCCCGAGCACGCAGTTCTTTCTTCTAGAGACAGTAAATCGTACATCGAATGATAAGATATGAGTATCAAAAATGTTCCAGATCTTTTCGCTAAAGATTCGTCTTGTTTACTAACCTCGATTATGTTTTGCAAAGAATTACCTTTATCTTTCCAGTAATAGGTATACAGAAAATTAAATGGAGCTCAGTTTTATCGTTACTCAGTTTACAGAAAAACCTTCAGTTAATTCATGAATATACATAATAGGTGAAGTAGGGTAGTCTCTAATCAGTCGACTTTTAAACAATCGAATGAGTGCTCAAGAAATTTGTTAGAAACAGTAAGTAGGTAGTAGGTAATTAGGTGTTTAGAAATTTGCATGTTATGACTGAGTCGAAACTTTGTACTGTTCTTGACATTTCTGGAAAAGTCACTTTCAAAGTAACAAAATAAGACTAGAGGACACAGGAGTAGTTTTAACAAAAAACACGTTTTTTGTACCTACATTAGCAGGTTTTTATTTGTTTTTAATAAAGTTCTGATGTCTCTGATGAAATATACGATTTTCGACTTTATATTAAGGTCGATTAGCTGCTGCGATACTCATTTTAAATTAGGATTGGACAGTGCAATCGAATCAAGATCGACTGTGAGCAGATTGCTTAGGGTTACATCCACACTATTAATTACTCGGATAGGTCATAATAATAATATTAGATTCGATTTCAAAGCTCAAAAGCACAGTAAAACAAAACGCAGCTACAGTTGTATTTGTATTGCTGGTAAAATACGGAACAGATTTCGATGGGGCTTTCATAAGCAGAAATTAAAATGAACGGGAAAGCGTTATATATGATTAGTGGTGGTAATGCGAGTCTGTACCTACGCCAGCATCCTACCTCTACCTGCCGCGTAGCAGTTGTGAGTTCTGATTTGTAGGGTAGGTTAGAAACCTCACTCGTCTGCGCAGTAATATACATATATGTACGTACATACAAACAAATACACTTGACCTATACACAATCATTAACTATTTTCGTATAAATTACACGTTGCGAGCCTATGATAGCTTGATTATTTAATATTTGAATTAATTTATTGTATGTGATTGTAAGTTAAGGAAATATACTTGTTTACGTTTAGAATTAATAATGTCCAACTTGTGTGCGACACGATAATGCGCATTTAACTTGGTTACTTTATTTATCATATTATTTTATTGACATTTGAATAAACTTCAAATATAACAAAGCATTTTTAAAAGGCTTCTGAATTACGACGCAAAAATCGTTTTTTGAATTTAAAATGGCGGCCATCTTGTGTCTGCGTTGTGTGTAATAGACGCTCATTTTTAATCTGTCTAAATAAAATGATAGAAACGTGTCTCGTGCGTGGGCATCCCGCAAAAACTTCTGGCTTTATTTTGATATTTTTTTTTGTATTACCTCTTAGAACACACACATGGACCTCATTTAAATATGTACTTATCTCATACCCGTTAAAAACTGGAAAATGGTCGACATACTTTTCGACACGTGTTCGAAAATGTTGCAATTTAATAATTTTAATCAATTAAGCATTTATGTGAAATTGCTTTCCTGTTGTAAATTGACTACATAGAAAATATATTTCGCAATACTGTTACGATGCCTATGCTAAATATTAGTTATCGTGCACTTTTAGAAAAACTGTGCCACGTAAAGAGAATTTGTGTTGCTCAAACCAAAAATGAAACTGTTGTTATATGAATATTTAAAATCAAACACATATTAGACGTGCCCTGCGTTTTCACTCGTGTTAAATTTGTTATTCCGAAAGATACAAGAGTTGCTTGAGTCATCCTTTGGGCTATAAACTAGCATTTTGTAGCAATGGTTAATATGAACATTTTTGTTATGTGTATGTGACGGTAGATGAAAAATCTAATTAGGATAATTTATTTATTTTTTTGACAGGAGGAAATCGCCGGACTTCCGCCCTTCACTGGGGATGGAGGGCGGGGCATGTCGGAGTCGAACCGACTAAAACCTCCTATCGCTCAACAACCAGCATCCAAACCTCGCATGAGACAGAGCTCATGAAGGGGGAAAGTGAAGCGTTTAGTGCGGAGCACATCTCTCCCATCACCCTCTCCCTCGGGACGCCGGCTGGCGGTCGTCGGCGCCACGACCACCAGCCCTCTCGGTCGGCAGGCTGTCCGAAGCCCGCCTAGATGGCGCCGGTTAGAATGGTCTATCTTACGGAATACCCCGCTGGGTCAGAACCAGCGTGGGTTGAGGATAGCCGGCCTTCCATCACCGATGGATGAATTTCGATTTATGTCAAAAATGTTCTTAATGAGTGACTACATCGCAAAAGGAATATATCTACATGCCAAATTCATAGTCGCTTCTGAGATCTGTTGATGTGTAAATGGTATATATTGCTTTATTGAATGTACATATTATAATATAGATTGCTTGTAAATGGTTTGCAAACATGATGTGATTATGACAATATCGTGATCAAGCGCAGCGTTTAACATTTTACGTAAACAATACGAAACACGGTAAACAAACAAGAACGTGAATAAACTATTTAATGTTTTTTTTTCGTTCATTCGTTTTTGTCTTAAGCCCGTTTGATTTACTATATAGCATATAGATGGCGTGCCAGTCAATTCAACGAGAGCCTGGTTAAAAACGATTCAATTATTCTTCTTTTCCATCGTTCCCTAACTGCTGAGGATCGCGACCACATGTGATGTTCCTCCACAGTGTCTGATCATGGGTAGCATGCCACATAGACTACCACCAACCAATAAACCAATACGAACTAAAATAAATTGAAGTAAATTCTGTTAATCTGTTTACACTGGTGGTAGGACCTCTTGTGAGGCCGCACGGGCAGATACCACCACCCAGCCTATTTCTGCCGTGAAGCAGTAATGCGTTTCGGTTTGCAGGGTGGGCCAGCCGTTGTAATTATACTGAGACCTTAGAACTTATATCTCAAGGTGGGTGGCGCATTTGCGTTGTAAATGTCTATGGGCTCCAGTAACAACTTAACGCCAGGTGGGCTGTGAGCTCGTCCACCCATCTAAGCAATAAAAAAATATCTTTTTCAACTACTAACCTTTGTTTCTCCACACCAATGTCCTGTTCCCCGTTACAAGCAGGTCGGTACACGACTATGCCGTGGGGCCCGACTCCGACGCACGTGCTAAGTCGACACCCGCAGCCGCCGACGCTCTGACCGGTCGCTAGGCAACCAACTGTGGCGCCACCGTCTATCTCTGGCTCATCTCTCGCGCGAGGCTCTTCGGCTTGCTGTCTGTGGTAGAGCAAGTGACTGTACAGGTTGTGGGCGTTGTTCTGTGGCGTAACGGGCTTGCAGAAGAACAGTTCCTCCCCGAACGACTCTAACTTCGATATTTCTTTAAGCAATCTGTATTCCGCTTGGGAGGCTCTCATGCCGGTTATCTCGCAATGGTATTCGATGATTTTGTCCACGTGATCCTCTGGTTTTTCGCCCTGCGGTCCGATTTTGTTGCACTCTTCGTAGATATGAGTGGGCGGCATTTCTGGGGTGCAGTCACCGGTCTCCGCTTGCGCGATGTAGGCGACGATCCTCCTGGCGACTTCTAAGTCCGCCACTACAAGTCTGCCTTCAGTCAGGTCTAGTTTGGCGTGCAAGTAGAACTGATGCCTCGTCGGTTCGTTGATGAGCAGGTGAGGGGGCACCCAGAACTTGACGCGGAGGTCTAGCCGTCCTCCGGGTATGCGGTGCGGATCGAGGGGGTTCCGCAAGTTAAGCCATCTTCCGGGGCCTGATCCTGGGCACACGCGCAGACCGAAATAGTCTGCCTCGGCACCGATCTCCAATTTCTCGCATACCTGGACAAATGAAAAACAAAATTAATTGATTATCCCAAAAAAAAAAAACAATGGGGATTACCGAAGTCACTCTCAATGAGGATATTGTGAGCTCCATACAAGGCTGGTAGAACTTATTGATGAAGAGTGAGTTTACGATGCATAGACATCTACAACGTAAATGCGCCACCCACCTTGAGATATAAGTTCTTAGGTCTCAGTACAGTTACAATGGCTACCCCACTGTACAAATCGAAACGCATTACTACTTCACGGCAGAAATAGGCGGGGTGGTGGTACCTACCCGTGCGGACTCACAAGCGGCCCTACCACCAGTAATTACGCAAATTATAATTTTGCGGGTTTGATTTTTATTACACGATGTTATTCATTCACCGTGGAGGTCAATCGTGAACAGTTGTTAAGTACGTATTTCATTAGAAAAATGGGTACCCGCCTGCGGGATTCGAACGCCGGTGCATCGCTAGATACGAATGCACCGAACGTCTTATCCTTTAGGCCACGACGACATCGACGATACGTCACACGTGCTTTTTTCCCAATATAACCGTTGGTAGCCTAAGGAGTTATTCCAACTACGCGCGGACTGATGGGTGATCTCATGGGCCTCAACAAGAACAGCGCTTCGCTGAATCTACCATCGGATCGGTCGTGACTCACTGAGAAGCTCCGATGAGAAACTCGGTGGATTATGTCTATGGATTAGTTTGTACGTCGAACTCTTCGTCGCATTCGACGGGAGAGGTGAAGGATGCCTAAAAGCACCGAGTGGTTTGGGAGGATCCGTTATGGTGTGCGTCACACGTGCCACCAGTAAATGCCATCATCTCAGGATATTCTGGGTGTTATATATTTGAAACTTCACAGCCTGTGGTTAGGTGATATAAAGCAGTCGAAGCTGTTATTTGGGTTGGCGTGTGTTAGGTGAAAGTGAAATCTTGTAATCCGGCCCCTTAATTTAGCGTACTTATGTTTTTGCTTATCGTCTAGCGTTCGAAAATTACATATCTCGACCTCGTAAGCAAATTACAAATTACAACGTTTGATATAATCGGTGTACCGGATCTAGGAGACCTACAATCGTGTCTGTGTTAAGGTGTTTTTGAATTTCATGCATAACATGTCATGAAATAAGCAGTCATGTCACGAAATAAGCAGGAATGCGCTGACAACTTAAAATAATAATTCAATTCGTTTGCAATTAAAATTATATTTTAATCCGCTTTTGTTTTCTGCACATGGGTCAAGAATATCTACATAAAGTCCACAATGAATCATACTATTATAATTGCGACTTGTTGAAACAGAACTTAATTCTGTTCCGGCGGTATACTGCGGAATTGTATTTCGATTACAATAGGTGTTTGTTTACAACAATTGTTTGAATATTCGCGAAATATCTTTGGTATTGTTTTTCTTAAATTTTGTTTTGTCTTAATTTAAAAATGTTTTTTTTTTGTTAAATTATTAATTTTCGTGTTTTTGTAGTAACGCGTTTCGACTTTAAGGGTGAGCTGGTACACAATGCAAACAAATATTTCTACATTAGTCCGAGCTGATTTCACAGGAATAAAATATGCAAACTGTTTCATTGGAAATTAGTGTGGACAAACGCGGATTTTTGTATGTATACTATAAAGTCAATGATTATTCTAGAAGATTGCACAAAGTGGGAATGAGTTGCTCGCTCCGGGCATTTCAATATTGTAATAATTGTTATGTTATAATACTCATTGTAAAAATGAATATTTAAAAATAACCTAATATTAAAAAAAAATATCTTAGATTTAAAAAAAAAAAACATGCCCGCTGAGTTTCTTGCCAGTCCTTCTCAGGACGGAGGCTAGTTCTTGTGAATTGGCGGTAGTTCTTTTGACGTTCAACAAGTATGTACTTTCATTTATGTTGAATAAATTTTTTTTGATTTGATTTGATTTATATTTATTTACTGAGATGTAAAACTGTTCAACCGCAAGATGTTAGTAAATCACTTACATTGACGGTATATGTACTAGTTCTTTATAGCCCTTTTANGTCCTTCTCAGGACGGAGGCTAGTTCTTGTGAATTGGCGGTAGTTCTTTTGACGTTCAACAAGTATGTACTTTCATTTATGTTGAATAAATTTTTTTTGATTTGATTTGATTTATATTTATTTACTGAGATGTAAAACTGTTCAACCGCAAGATGTTAGTAAATCACTTACATTGACGGTATATGTACTAGTTCTTTATAGCCCTTTTAAGTTGAGCAGGGGACATTGACCCTTTCCCAGGAAGGACCGCGCGTGCCCCGCTTCTAAAACTAGTAATGCTAACGAGCCATATAATTTATCTCTTACATTTAAGGGCAAAGTTTTAAGGTAAATCACGAGATTTTTTCCAAGTTATTATAAATTATCTTTCTTGTATGTAACTAAATTCCTTCCTGTTGAGAAATATGAGATTTTGAAAATGGTCCAGATTCAGACAAAGAAGAACATTACTCTACATTTTAGTTAGTTTAAAATGTTGTTTATTTTTGTATTGTCTTCTTGTATTCCCGTTGCTGAAGAACATTTGTGTATAGTCTATTTATTTTTTTGCAATAAATTAATATATAAACAATTTATTTAATTGTAAACGAGGTTGTTATGTAATTAGGTATTACAAAGAGACCATCCTACCCATTTCTACTTTTAAGCTCCGCAAGATTCGGAGAGAAGGATAGCTTTTCCAGAAGCCAGAGACTGTGGTTCGTCGGAGGAAAGACTTTTGAAGAGACTTTTGGAGAAGTTTGCTTCGATAACAACAAAATAATGTTACCCGAATGAATTTGAATGTTTGTCCTTATAAAATACTAGCGGCCCGCTCCGGCTGGGCTCAAATCTTTAACAAAAATTTCAACGATATTTGACGTTGTTTTGTTTTTTGAAATAAAAGAACAGTTATTGCAGCATAACTACAATAGTTAGAAATATGCTGTCGCGACTCTTTTTGTAATTAATAATGTGTTCTACAAAGTCGTAGTACATTATCTTATTCTATCATCAATAGTTTTCTGAGTGCACGCGATGTAAAGAATATTTTAGGTAATTTTTTTACACCATGGGTTACATTATTGGAGTTTTAGTAAAGATCCAATTTTTTTTCAAAAAAGATTATAGTCTATGTCACTTGGGATTGTCTAGCTTCCAAACAGTGAAAGAATTTTTCAAATCAGTTCAGTAGTTTCGGAGCCTATTCAATACAAACAAACAAACAAATCTTTCCTCTTTATAGTATTAGTATAGATTGCTTTTGAATACGTTGATATTTCAACTATTCATTTCAATATGTTCTCAGAAAACAATAGCTTTGTTTGCGCTCTGATACCTGCTTCAATAATAATATATGTGTATTAAAATCTTTACGGGTAGCTATATAGCACGTACACGAGAAATGTAAAAACATATCGAATTTCGAGTTACAGCGTATGTATTTAACCTTAAAGGTTATTACAATTCGAACGTACCAATCTGAACTTTTAATGGATCGGAAACATTTAAATAAATAACAAATGACATACCTACCTTGCACGTACAACCGAATAACAGTATTAAAAAAATACAGTAGTTCTTATTATCAAAAGACTTGGTTATCAGTTGATAAAGAATCGAAGAAATTAGGTCATCAAACATATTGAAGATGTTAACTGCTGCGTCGATGAGCAGAATTCGAGGTTATGGCCTCTGGCGATTAAAGAACGCCATTATCAGAGACAACCGGATGTGCTGATCATAAGGCCAGTACAAAAGTATACTTATACCTATAAGAAAGTCGTCGTGGCCTAAAGGATAAGACGTCCGGTGCATACGTGTCGAGCGATGCACCGGTGTTCGAATCTCAGGCGGGTACCAATTTTTGTATTGAAATACGTACTCAACAAATGTTCACGATTGACTTCCACGGTGAAGGAATAACATCGTGTAATAAAAATCAAACCCGCAAAATTATAATTTGCGTAATTACTGGTGGTAGGACCTCTTGTGAGCCCGCACAGGTAGTTACCACTACTTTACCTAGTTCAGCCGTGAAGCAGTAATGCGTTTCGGTTTGAAGGGTGGGGTAGCCGTTGTAACTATACTGAGACCTTAGAACTTATATCTCAAGGTGGGTGGCGCATTTACGTTGTAGATGTCTATGGGCTCCAGTAACCACTTAACACCAGGTGGGCTGTGAGCTCGTCCACCCATCTAAGCAATAAAAAAATACTTCATTTGCCGTAATAGGCAGGATGATTGTAAAAGTTTCAGCAGTTATTCGAGTGTTTAAGGATGTTTTTTTCCTTTTAACTACGCTACGTGGTAGTAGGTGAAAGCGGAGATATTCGTGAGGCACGTTGGATATATATTCACTTTTAATTAAATTTATCGATACTTGTCCCGCGGCATGGTTGCATGACGCGCTTGAATCATCTATACTAATATATAAATCTACATTGGTTTTTACGGATGTTCCGTTATAACTACTGAACCGTGCATCCGATTGACTTGAAACTTGGTATCCATGTAGAAAATACACGTACTTAATGGATAGGCTTATTTATATGAGTGTTGGACTCCCTAAACTAGTTGCGGGGACGTTAATGATGAGAATCTTTGTGGGGGTGACAAATAATAATGTTAATTTTAGATGCCCAGCGAAGCGGACGGGTACAGCTAGTTATACATATAGCTTATTTATGTGTACTCTAAAACAAGATTTCTTCACTGTCTTATCTATATTTTCAGCGCATAGAAAACGAATATTATCTGCTAAGATTGATCGAAGATGCTGTGTGTGCTGTGATGCGTGAAAGACGTTATGTGTAAGAGGGGAGTGAGCGAAGAAATGGTATATGATAGAGGAGTATGGAAGGAGAAAACATGTTGCGCCGACCCCAGGTGACTGGGAGAAGGGCATGAGAATGATGATTGATCGAAGATGCTATCTTAATTATAATGTTCTTTTCTTTTGAGTAAATTATCTTAATATTTCGAAA